TATCCAGTGATCGGATGACCTTGACATGAATCGATTGAGGGCTGCAGTTCAGTCAATGAGTCCTTGAGTTTCTTTGATGGATTGAGGAAGCTCCATGTCAAGTATGTCTTGTATTTTTTCGGGGTTGGCCTTTATGCCTCGTTGAGTGACTACAAAGCCTAGAAACTTGCTTGAGGTGACGTCGAAGGCACATTTGCTGGGGTTCAACTTCATGTTGTACTTCCTTAGCACTCCAAAGGTCTCACCAAGGTCTAAGGTGTGTTAGCTTACCTTCAGGCTTTTCACCACCATATCGTTGATGTAGGCCTTGACGTTCCTCCCCATTTGGTCCTTGAATATCTTGCTCGCTAGCTGTTGGTAGGTGGCCCTGGCGTTCTTCAGTCCAAAAGTCATTACCTTTGTAGCAATAGGTGCCATGCTCGGTGATGAATGAGGTCTTCTCTTTGTTGATGGGGTGCATCTTGATCTGATTGTACCCAAAGAAAGCATCCATGAAGCTTAATAACTCGTACCTTGTGGTGGCGTCGATGAGGTGATCAATCCTTGGCAAAGGAAGCCGTCTTTGGGGTAGGCCTTGTTGAGATCTGTGAAGTCAATGCATATGCGCAATTTCCCATTAGCTTTTTTAACCATGACCACATTAGACAACCATTTAGAGTTGTGTACCTCTCGAATGAATTTGGTGTCGAGTAGCTTATCTACCTCCTCTCTGATGGCTTTCCAATGCTCCAATGCAAAGTTCCTCTTCTTTTGTCAAACTGGCCTACAACTCGGGTCCACGCTTAGCCTGTGAGTAATGACAGAGGGGTCAATTCCTGGCATATCAGTAGTGGACCAAGCAAAGACGTCGGCATTATTTTTGAGGAAGTTTAATAGTTCAAAAAGTGTATCCTGAGGGAGGCATGACCTGATTCGTATAATCTTCTTGGGCTTAGCCTCGTCTAGGGGAACCGAGATGAGGTCTTTGGCTGGCTAGCCTCAGCTCGCTGGTTCATCCCTGAGGTTGAGCCCTTCTAGTGGTAGGGCTTCTTTGTTCTTGCCTTTTAATGCTAAAATGTAGCACTGTTTGGAAACTTCTTGGTTCCCCCTAACTACTCCGGCGCCATGCTCGATAAGGAGCCTATCTTCACGACTAAGAACTCGGTCATCCCAGTGACCTATCGAGGCTTGGTCCCTACTGTAACTGGTAGGGTGATCTTCCCTTTGGGCTTGACGACTGCTCCAGAGAACCTGACTAGTGGCATGTCCACAAGTTGTAGCTGATTTGGTGTCAGCTGCATTCTCTAAAGCATCGTAGAACAAGATGTCAGCCAAGGAGCCACAACCCCTTGTAGGTTGTCGTCGGAGAAGGAGATGGTGTCCTCCGGCCTCAGCCTTTTAGGTGTCGGGATCTGGACGTTGTATTGCCTAGCGTATGCCTTCCAATCCGAGGTAGATCCACCCAAGGACGAGCCCCCAACAATGACTTCAACGACTCCAGCTAGGGGGTGATGGGGCTGGGGCTCGGGTTGTTGCTATTGTTGCGAGGACAAGGTGTCGGCGTCGCCCCCAACATACTCCTTTAGGTGCCCACGGCAGATGAGGGATTCGATCTCGTTCTTGAGTGCATAGCTGTACTTGGTATCGTGGTCGGTGTCGTGGTGGTAGTTGTAATACTTCTTGGGGTTACCTCTTTAGCTTGATCGACCACTTCATGTTTTCCTCCTTCCATACTTGCATTAGTATATGCATTCGGGTGAAGTTCATTAGCATGTATTTGTGGAAGGAAGGGGCCGATAGCTTTCTCTCACTATCTTTGCTAGTGTGGCTGTGATTGCGTCCATCCTTTCCTTTCTCTTCTTGTTAGTGGCCCCTCGGTTGGCCTTGGCTTTTGGTTCCTAGAGGCGCTTGTTGGCTTCGGCCTGCTCGGCGATGATGTACTTTTGGACTTTCTTCAAGAACTCAACCGTGTTCTTGGGTGGAGTCTTGGAGATGGACTAGCGAAGGGGTTTGGGTCAGAGGTTGCTAATGGCCCCGTGCATAGAGACTGAGGGGTCTTGATCCCTTACTTCAAGCTCTTCTTGGTTGAATCGGTCCATGTACGCCCGAAGGCTTTCCCTGTGCTTTTGCTTTATGGATATTAGGGAAACAACGGTCTTTTGGCACCATCGGTTGCTGACGAAGTGGGAGAGAAAGAGATCTACAAACTGGTCCCAAGAGTTGACGGACTGAGGGGGGATTGTGGAGAACCATCTGCATGCTGCTCCCTTGAAGGTGGCTTGGAAGGCTCGACACATCAGGGAATCGGAGCACCCGTAGAGGAGCATGAGAGCTCTAAAGCTTTCCAAGTGGTTATTCGAATCTGTGCTCCCATCATAGGTCTCCATGGTGGGAGCCTTGATGTTAGGTGGGAGCGGCTCCAAGGTGATGGAGTCGATGAAGGCCTCCATCTAGGTATATGAGAGGTTCTGACTGTTAGAGGCATCACCTGGGCCCTCCTTCACCTATCGGATCTGATCTTGGATGGCGCCTATCTACGCCTGAAGGTCATTGAGATGTCAATCAATTGGGGCCTCGACCTCATTCAGGTTCTCTTTCGCATGGGATGGGTTTGACCTGTTCTCAAAGTGCTCGGGTGCTAGTACATCTTGAGCCTTGTCTTGCGAGCTTAGTGATCGTTGAGGAGACTGCAAGGTTAGACACTGGTGGGGGAGAGGCGTAGCATCGACCTCCAGCCCTCGGAGGACTATAGTGGTCGGAGCATCCGCCATCGTCCCGGTTGCTCTCCACGTGGTGATGGCGGCGATCGTGGTCCCTATGATTGTTGTAGGGCCCCATGGGTTCACCTCTCCAACTAGAGAGCCATGAGGTCTTTGACGGGGGCTTGCTAGCCCGTTGGCTGCTCCTGTTGGATGTTGAGGGGTCAGCCTTCCCCTGGTCGATCAGGCGTTGGCCTGGTGGTGTATGGGTGGATCGTCCACTATATTGCCCTTGGTTTCCGATGGAGCAACCACCCTATGGGCAGCCTCTGGTCGGACGCCCTACCTCATCCAACCGCTAGGCTAGGTTGTCCAACCTGTTTAGGCCTAGCTTGAATTGGTCCATCTTGACTAGGTTTTGAGCGTTACGAGTGATGTCTTGCTTATCAGTCATATTAGAAACTTGATGGATTAAGTTATGTTGTTTTCAGAGGGAAGTCTTGAAAACATTCCCACAGACAGCGCCAATTGTTGCTACCAAATATGAGGCCGATGGCAACAAGGTGATTTTAACAGTGTCTGAGGCCGATAGGTCTGATATGTAAACAAGAGAAGAACACACATTAGAGGCCCTAGGTGTTATCCCAGGGGTGGAAACTCTGACGGTCAAGTTAGCCAAGTGCTTAAAGAGGGGTCGGACCAAGCAAGAGATGAGAGCTCGGAGGTTAGTCCTTAATAGCCAAGAATGGTTCTTTCGTGATTACGAGTGGATCCTTACCTTGAGGTGAGTGCCCCCTTTTATACTTAACCTTGCCTTAGGAGTGGTTGGAAGCAGTTGGTGATGTGCAACCAGAATTTGATCTGGTCGCTATTGTGGGAGACCTCGACAACTGAGGGAGACCTCAACTCGACACCTGGGTTGCTAAGGAAACCTCAACTCATCACTTCAACAATTGAGTGAGACCTCGGCCTGGCACCTCGACAACTGAGGGAGACCTTGGCTCGACAATTCGGCTACTAGGGAGACCTCAGCTTGGCACTTCAACAACTAAGGGAGACCTGCAATCATAGGTAGTCGAACTTGAGCTCAAGCCGAGCTTGAACTTCCGAGCTTGACTTGATCCAAGCTTAAGCTCTAGTCTCTAATTCGAATCGAGCTCGTGCCTAATAGTTTATGAGCAGATATTCGACTCGACTAAGCTCGAATAGCCAGATATTCAATTCGGCTCAGCTCAAATCCACCCTTATAGGCAATCTATAGGAGTGGTTAGGGATGTCCACGGGTTAGGTTGGGTCAGTTGTAGGTTTCTTGCTCACAACCCAACCGACCTGGTTGGTTTGATAAACAAGTAACCCAAAATTGACTGGTTATAAGGGAAAACCGACCCTAACAAAAATGGTTGATTTGGGTCCATTTTTTGGTTTGATCAGGCCAGTTTGGGGATGGTCAATTGGTCATCTTGGGCGATTTATTGATTTTCAATCTCCTTTTCCTATTTTGTATACGACTCTCATTGGCTGATTTGGCTCATTTTATGTTTGAGTCAAACACCATGTTTTTTCTAAGTCATATAGCCTCCTAAATGCTGCCTCTATATTACTCCAAACCCAAAGATAGTTGCCATATTTGTGTAAGTTTCTTCAATTTCAAGACTATTGCAAAAAATGTAATAAATAAAGAGGAGCCCAAAAGTCTCCAACTTCAAGACTAATGCAAACTCAACTGTCTTGTAACAAATATTGTGTAAAATATTAAAAGTGAAAAGTCCTATTGTTTCTATACCAAAACTAAGTATTAGACTCCTAGCCATAGTCCGTTCGATTTGGGTTACTTTTGGTTTTCTCATCCAATCAGTTGGGTTTTTTATATTTATAACCGAGACTGACCATAAGTTTTGAGAAACTGACCAAATTGGGTTGGATTGGATTGGTTTGGTCGGTTTGATTCTTCTTGTGAACACTCCTAGGAGTGATGATTCAGCAGAAGCATCGTGTTACCCGGTTAACTCTTCCTAATTCCTGTTTCAAGCTGGGTTTTCTGCTTGTTTCCAACTGAAGATCAGGGTGTTTATTTCTATAAGACAGAAAGTGGATGGAGCATAAAAAATGGAGGGATGAGGGTTGGGTCGGGTCAGGCCAGGCTTAGCACACGAAGGGCTTAACCTTGAGTTCATCTTCACCCAAAATCATATGCATGGCATTGATGTAAAGGGTATTGTTGAGAGAGAATACTCAATGGTATTGTTGAGCATTTAAAAAAAAGGGTATCGTTGAGAGAGAAAAACTGCATTTGTTAATTTGCTTTGATTAGAAACACCAAAATAATCAGAATACGAATTGGAAAAAAAAAACTAATGGATATTCTTCAATTCAATTCCAAGGAAAAAAGCTCCCACAGTTCTCAAACCCTACAGCATTGGCTGCAGATCTTGGGTCTATTTCATAACTTGTTTGATTTAACTTGTAAAGCGGATACCCGACTTAAAATTTCAATCAAGTGAACACCTGAAAGAGGGCTTTCTTTTGCATATGTATATGTGGAAGGCTCAGTAAGGCAAATGTTCAATATCGATTTCTAGTCTGGATCTGTTTCAACCACATTTACAGAGTTCTAGCTGGCTGGTTAGACCTTGTTGAACCTGCTTTATGAGCGTCTCCAGAGAGCTGAAGGGTCAACAGTGGTTTTCATCTAACTAATTCTCCAGCTAAGGACTGGATGCCCCCAATATAAACCACCTACAACAAATATAAACCATAAACATATAAATAAATATCTAATACTAATAACATCCAAGTGAAAGTTGGATAGCTCAGAGTCAAATTAGAATTACCAAAAAAAAAAAAAAAAGAAAAGAAAAGAAAAGCAAAATTACTTTATGCTAGTTTATTGGCTGTTCATGTTCTTGGTACCAAATGCAATGAAATTTACACTAAGATCATCAGATAGAGCCCATCTTCCTGTCAAAGGATTGTAAACAAAGCCTGCAATCTCTTGGACCTGAATATTGGCAAAGCAAACAAGCATTATAAGAGGAAGAGGGAAAAAGCATAGAGATTCCATTAGTAAGGCAAAGGCTGACATTGAGAGGGCATGTATTTGCTCTGATAACTTTAATGTTAGTATGCCAAGCTATGGCTGCATCCTTATAATGGTTCTCTTTCCAAAACCCTTCAAAATATGTTTTTTTTTAATCTTACTAAAAGAATTTAATTGCAGTAACTGATAAAAGAACAAGGTATGCATTTTGACATACAGATATTGAAGCTCGTTGTAGGATCAGCACTAGTTCTTCAGGAGTAAGAAAACTTGACCATTGATGTGTGCCTCTAGGAAGCTACAGAAACATAAATTACATTGTTAGTCTGATGAAACGCTACAGAAAAGCCCCATAAATATGGATTGAATGCATAGAGTCATTAGGTGTAAATGCATATTCTTTTTCCCAGCCATTGGTACAATTTCTATACTTTACCTTTTCAGGTAAAAAATTGTTAAGTTCTATTTTGGCTTGACATCTAGCAATCAAATTGTCCAGAAGAAAGGCATCCAAGTCACATCTAGAAGCTGTCTGGGAAACTATAACCGGTTGCAATGTTACCATGGTGTTTGACTCCTTTAGATTATTACAATGAGAAGACTATGGAATTTAGTCTCCTTGAGCAATTTAAAATGATCATAATTTTCATGTATTTAGATTAAGTGAGGATCTTTCATTTGATCATAAAAAATGATAACAGTTGCAAGTCATGTTCAAACTTAAAATTTCCACTGCTGCCAACACTCTTTATTAACAAGGAAATTAATGGTGATTTCTTCAAAACTTGATCATAGAAAGAACTCCTTATCAATTCATGTGACCACAAAACCAAGGGAAAAACTTGCATCTTAACAAATTTAGTCTTAAGAGATTGTCTGCCAAATATCACATTGAATTATCCTAAATTGTTTTTGTTCTTTTTTGGATCAATAAAAGAAAATTTCATTAATATTGAAATACAGAGTATAATATGAGATTATAGCATGAAAGTTTGGTCTAGAACACAAACCAAAGCCCAGTCTTCCATGAAGACAGTCCCCAAACACAGTAATTTTACATTTACTCCCCCTTCCCCTTTACAGCATAGATCTTTTGCTGTACAAGTTCTCCCTATTTACCCCTGCTTTGGCCAGGTTATCACCCAATTCAGTAGCTGTTCTTCTGATCCAAACGCACAAAATGGAAGTGAAAATAGTAACTGATCAAGAAAGAGAACCTAATGTGGGGGCTTATAGAGTACCTTGGAAGGCATCCTATCATACAAGCTCTACAACATCTCCCCAGAAGCTCTACCACACCAATTGGTTGTGGTGTGCATCTATGCTACCCAAATATGACAAGGATGCGTATTGGATATGAAATTACACTAAGCATTAAAGTATCTGAAACAATATGGCCCCCTTGAATAGGTATTAGACCTGTTCATGGGCTGGGTAGCCTGATGGGCTGGCCCAGTCCGATAATATTATATATATAATAAAAAATATAATTAATATAATATAAAATATCTGTCTAGATCAGTCTTCGGGCTCGGGCCTGGTCATTTTCTGTTTACAAAGAGGCAAAGCCCAGCCCAAACCTGGCCCATGAACAGGTCTAATAGGTATCTAGGTATCATAGGTGTGTATGCACAATAGGCTTTTGGCAACTTCTGAGCACATGACTGCTATGTCATGAATATGTTAATTTCATATGTTTTAATATGAAGTTTGTACTTGATTGAGATTGCTGCCAATGTTTTTAAAGGCATGTGAGGTGTCAGCCTGGAGGCACCCTCCAACTCTCCAAGTAAGGTGGCAAAACGTCTTGAGGTGTATGCTGGAGGCATTGATGCTTTTGAGGCATGTCTCAGGTGCATGAGGCTTACTCTTCAAATGCTTTTTGATGTGTACGCCACATGCACTTAATGCATGCCTCATATAGACTCCTCTTGAGAAGGCTAATGCCTCTTGTGTTAACTACGCTTCACACATTTTACACCTCTGCATTTTAAAACACTAATTATTGCTAACTATTAGTAAAAGACAATTGTTGATTGTTATCAAACCTAGCAGATTAGTTTTTTTGTAATAAATAAAAAAGGAAAATTTATTAATAAAACAAAAAAAGTACACCCATGAGGTGACGAGGAGTCACCATACCCAAAAAAAACACCAAAATCACAGCAAATTATAGAAATCAGCTCACATATTCTAACTCTAAAGAAGACTAAAAGTTATTCCCAATTCCTAGATCTCTTTCTGCTCAAGAAAACAACTTTATCCCTGCATTTGATTGTCCTTGAAAAATTTTTCTATTTCTCCTTCCAAAATTCCCAGCAAATGGCAAAATGAATGCAGCTCCAAAATCTTTCCCTTGAGCCTTCCTATTTCTCCTCAATGTAAGCCAGCTACCAACAATTTCTTTAGGCGTTCTTGGATTCCACATGTCAAGTCTAAAGACACTGAAGTAGTAACACCATAAGTACTTTGAGAAGTAACCACCAAAAAATAAGTGTATCACATTCTCATGTATCTGCTTGCCAGCTGAATTCCGCTATTTTTAATATTGCCATGGGTAAGAATGCTGTCCAAAGCCACCAAACAAGCAAAACCTCCACCCTCAAGGGAATTTGATTCCCCCAAATCCCCTGAACATCCGACTTCTCCACCTGATTTCTCACCAAAACATTTTAAAAAGATTTTACCAAGAACACACTATTCCTACTTTCTTTCCACCATCACACATGATTTTTTTCTGTCAAGATGACTATAATTTTGCCAAACAGCTCCACAATTTCCTCAACCTCCTAAACAAGGAGGGGCCTTTTAAATCTTGGACACCTCACAACTCTTCCTTGGTTTATCTCATAGCAGTCAGCAAGACACATTTCTCCGACTTATGCCGTAGAGTCATGTTCACAACTCATAAAACCTACCAATACCTCACCAATCATCCTCTCAAAATCTTATGTTTGCACCATCTCCCACCTTAAAATAGACAAAGTTCAAGAAGGCTGAATGAAAACTCATAATTCCTTTCCACAAACATACTCCATAAGATGATTTAACCTACCTTGAATTCCACCCAAAATCTAAAACACCATACTTGCAAGCCACCACCTTTCTCCACAAAGAATTTGTTTCCTCCCCAAATCTCCAGAGCTATTTCCCCAACAATGCCTTGTTAACAAGCTTTACTCTCCTTATCCCAAGACCTCCGTCTTTCTTATCTGTACATACTAAGTCCCACTTCACAAGATATTTTTTCTCCAAATCCTTGATGTTCCATAAGAAATTTCTTTGCATCTTACTACAGATGATGGGATCTTGAGCAATGAAAGAGTACACTAGAAGGTTAGACAAAGACTTGTAATTCTTCCTCCAAGGGACAAAGTATTTCCCCTTTCTCCCTGCCAATATTTGATCAATTTTATACAACACTGGCTGCCAAGTAAAGAAAATAGAAGCTTTAGCACCAATAAGTAAACCCAGATAAGTAAATGGAAACTCACCAACCAAACACCCGAAAGAAACTGTACAATCTTTCAACAATGTTTGAGAAAAATCCCCAACACTAATCATAATATTCTTGTTTAAATTGATTTTTTGACCTGGCAACACTTCAAAGCACTTGAGAAAGGACCCTTAGCTTGGTAACCTGGTCTACTAAAGCTTCCAAAAATATTAAGGTATCATTTGCAAACTGGATGTGAGAAATGGGAAATCCTTCCCATGCTGACTTTAAAACCTTCAATCATACTCATATCCACCTCCTTAAGCACCAACCTACTTAACACCTCTACAGCAATGAAAAATAGTAAAGGAGAAAGGGGATCACCTTGTCTCAACCCCCTTGATATTTTTTTGATTCAAGTCTAACATTCAGGAGCTTGATGGGAAATGGGTAAGAAGCTTTCGGGGTAAAAAAGAAGTCAATTGGAGCTTCACTCCATCTTGGGGAGCTTCAGGGCAAAAAATGATAAGGAAAATGCTGTATAATGCACCGAGGAGATGATAGGGAATTTTACTTTGTTGGTTAAACTGAAAAACCTTCAAGATGGATTGGATTGGGTTCTAACCAATGTTTGTGGGACTAATTCTTTTAGGGAAAAAACCCTGATGTGGGAAGAGCTAGTAGCTATTAGGGGTCTATGGGAGGGGCCATGGTGTGCTGGAGGTGATTTCAATATGGCAAGATTTGCAAAAGAAACGAATAGTACAAGACAAAGGGTAACAACCAATATGAGAAGATTCAATTAGGGGTGCAAATGGATCGGATCATGATCCGACCCAAACCGAAATCTGTCAGATTTGGATATCCCCTTGTTGGATTTTTGGATGAATCGGATAATGTGTTATTTATTTATTTATAAATATGTTTATATTGCATTTTTGTATTTTTATATTATTTATTTATTTATAAAAAAACATGTATATATATGATGAGAATAGTGGAAAAAATATTTGTTTTCTTTATCTAAACTGTTACACATTTTTTCTTTTACTAGTTAAAATTTTCAGAAATTAAATTGGATTGGATCAGGTTAGGATATCCAATATCCTTAATAGGTTTGGATTCAAATTGATGTTGTGAGATCCAACCGGATCTACTATTTGTATTATCAGATCTGATTCGGATAAACCCCAATTCGAATTCGATGTGATCCAATCCATTTTCATCCCTAGATTCAATGCTTTTATTGGTTCCTTTGATGTGAGAGATATTCCCTTGTGGTAATCAAAGTTCGTGTGGTTAAATCTTCAAGAAAATCCTATTTTGTTCCAATCTGGATAGATTCTTGGTTTCTCTTGATTGGGAAGAACATTGGAATAGTTTGCTAGGAAGCACTTTTCCTAGAACCATCTCTTATCACTGGCCATTCTATGTTTTCTAGCAGGGTGTTATAGGTTGCCCTACCTCTTTCAGATTTGAAAATATATGGCTTACACTTCCCAACTTTAAACAAAAAGTGAAGGAATGGTGGATTGAACAACAGCAATTGCCTAAATGGGAGGGACGAAGATATATGAAGAAGTTACAAAAGCTGAAGGCAGATATAAAAGAGTGGAATAAAATGCAATTTGGAAGATTGGAGGAAAAGAAGGCTAATTTGATCATACAAATTGAGGAATTAGATAGAAAGGAGGTAGAGAATCCATTAGAAGAAGAAGATAGAGAGGATAGAGATTGAACTTGAAAAAGGAACTTGAGGAGGCTTTGCTATGGGAGGAAATAAGTTGGTGACACAAGGTTCTTCCGTGCAATTGAAAATGGTAGGAGGAAAAATCTAATCTCTTGCTTAGAAATAGATATCA